ATATATGGCAGAGATGATCATCCCATTTTGCAGACCAAAAAACTGGTTTCAGAGACAACCTGACTTGCCCAAGGCCTAGTGGCGGAGTCAGGGCTGAAGTTCTGTTAGTTGGGTGTCCATGCCTCCTGCCTTGTAGCTCTGGGGCTGGGGGGAGGAAGGCAGGGTGAGGAGAGTCACCACGGGTGCTGACCTTGCTCTGGCCCTCAGGTGGCGGCCCTGCCCGGCCCCCAAGGCCTCCTGGGCAGTGTGGTGCACACCCTGCAGAAGACGCTCCAGGGCACCATTTCAGCTGTGACGTGGGCGCCCAAGGCTGTGCTGGGCACAGTGGGAAGGGTGCTTCACCTCACAGCGGCCCCAGCTGTCTCCCCGATCAAGGGGCGGGCCATGTCTCTGTCGGATGCTCTGAAGGGTGTCACTGACAACGTGGTGGACACAGTGGTGCATTACGTGCCGGTGAGTCCCACCTGGCAGCCTCCTCCCCTGGGCCCTAAAGCAGACTGAGAGGCTGCAGCTCCTCATCCCTGGAGACCCTTTTCCAACCTCTGTGCCCCAGAAACATTTGGACATACGGGGGTCTCCCCAGCTCTACGAGCACAGAGGCAGGGGACCCCTTGCTGGTGGGGGACACTGGGGACCACAGTGGCTCACCCATCACCCCTCCTCACCCCCTTCTGAAGGACTTGGCAGGTGTTTGTGCCTTGTCTCCGTGCGCATGGTGAGGAGGATCTAGGAAAGCAACTGGCTGAGTCCCAGTTCTATCACCTGTCACCATCAGGAGAAAGCCAAGGGACACAGTGCACCCCTTTAAGGTTCCTAGGCACCTTCCCAGGGCAAGTTTCAGGTTGACCAGGCTCATAGAGGGTCAGAATATGGGGCACCCCAGAGCTGGCTAGGGGTGGCTTCTCAATTACTCCTACCAAGAGCCACCCCCGCCGGGCCCCGGGCCTTGGCAGCAAGTTTGGGCTCAAGTCATGCCCAAGAAGAGGTACCTTAACCGTGGACAAGTCAATGGGTGACCTTGCACAGCCTACAGCTGTAGCCCAAGAAAGGGTTAGAAGAGTCACTGGACGCCCCTGGCAGAGGTCTTGCCTCCCCCGTGGGGTCACCCTGCAGGCTATCAGTTGTCAGATGGTCTCTCTGGCCGTCCTTCCCGCTGTCTCACACTTTGGCCTGTGCTCCCGCGTGGCCACTACTGGGGGATGGAGGCAAAGAGTCCCAGAAGGGGGTCTGGTCCCAGGCGTAGTGACAAGACCAAGTAGGGGCTCTAACGCGCCTGCCGGGTCCCTAGCTCCCCAGGCTGTCGTTGATGGAGCCCGAGAGCGAATTCCAGGACATCGATAACCCCCCAGTTGAAGCCCAGCGCCGGGAGACAGAGCGCAAGTGGTCCGAGCCGCAGCCAGCCTGCCCCGAGTCCGGGCCGCACCCCGCGCAGCACCGCGGAAGCCTGCGCGGTTTGCGCTCCTCTGACCAGGGCGACTCCGGAGAGATGCCCTCTGCGCGCCCAGGCTTCCTGGCCACGCCCCGGGAGAAGCCGTTGCGCAGGGTCAGCGACAGCTTCTTCCGGCCTAGCGTCATGGAGCCCATCCTGGGCCGTGCGCAGTACAACCAGTTGCGCAAGAAGAGCTGAGCCGTGCGCTACTCAAGCCCGGGCCGGGCTCCCCAAGCGAGAGCCCACGCTTCCAAGCTAGCTCCTGAGGGGTCCCTTGGGAATTCGAGCCTCATGGTCACCATGCTGCGCAGACACACGACTTTCTGAAGCATCTCTGGGGGCTCTTTTGCTCAGCGGCTTGCTCTGATAGAATGCGCTCCCTCCCCCGGAATTGTTGCTCAACGTGATCTTTCACTTCTTTAACCAAATTGTGCCCAAATGACACTTTTATCCTTGAGTGCAGAGGCCTCTGGCGACCTAGGTTCTCAGCAGACCGCTCCGAAGGGATCACCAGGTGCAAATGCGCTTGTACATTTATGTAGTGTTAGCACCACTCTCAGTACCTGCTACCCTGTGCAGGCTGACCTCAGGCTTGTCCTCTGCGGCGCCACCTTGTGGTTGGCAGCCATATTTCCACTTACATGGTCACTTCTGAATGCTGGTGCCCCCAGATGCTGGAAGATGACAAAGGTAACTTCACCCAATAGTCTCTGTTCTCTAGACCCTAAATACAGCCTCCACAACTGCTATTCATTGCAAGTCCTTTTTTTGGAAATGCTAATACTTGGTAACTCTAGGAGATGCATAAACATAATTTAAAAATGCAAACATTGTAAAGTGTGTTTTCCTCTGTAATTTCTCCAGTTTGCCTTTGTAAGAACAACTGTGGTGTGGTCAGTCTCTTGCGTATATATGTGGTTACAGGCTGTGTGCGTGCAAGTGCTTGCATATCTGCTCACCTTGGTGTGTGGGCTTGTGTGCCCACCTGCTCTGCTTACTTAACAATACTTCTTCGTAGGGCCTGGGAGATAGCTCAGTAGAATAAGCGCTTGCTTGGCAAGTGCAAGGTCCTGAGTTCAATCCCTGGTGCTGTAAAAAACCTCCAACCAACCAAACAAAAAACAATACTTATTTGGGCACAGGAGTACATGCTTGTAATCTTAGCACTCTGGGAGCTTGAAGCAGGGAGATCAGAAGTTCAAGCCCAGCCTGGATGATTTAGTGAGCCCCTGTGTCAAAGAAGTAAAAAGGGCTGAGGATGTAGCTCAGTGTGAAGGTCCTGGGTTCAATTCTCAGTACACACACACACACACACACACACACACACACCATCCTTTGGACAGGGATCATAAACCAACTGCTCTTTCTAATGGTAATTTCACAATGTGGTTACACCATGTTTTATTTAACAAGCTCTCTAATGAGGGACATTTAGATTGTTCCCAATCATTTTGCTGCAGTACTATCATAAATATCTTTATCTAAAACGTCTTGTGTAGGGCTGGAGATGTGGCTCAGTGATAGTGAGTGTGCTTAGCATGTGCAAAACCTGGGTTCCATCCTCAGCACAACGAGTAAAAAGTCTCATGTACACATGTGATGGTATGGATGGGTCAACTGTAATTGGTAACCATGGTGTTGTGACATGCTGGGTGAGATTGTGTGCATCTTAAGTACTGGGCAAGAATGCCAAGTAGCCTGGCAAGCCCAACCCTATTTTTCTAGTTGTTTTGATGTGCACAGATAGTTGTAACACATCTATCATCCCTTTTACACATCCACATACACACCTGTGCCTTCTAGACCCACAAGCACCCTCTCGGCTCCAGAAGCCACACTCCAAGCCACCCACTTCCGCATAGTTCCACAGCTATGCGGAAGCTGTGCTCTCCTGTTAAGCTGTTAAGCTGTGCTCCAGCAGGCAGAAAAGCTGCCCTCTCGGCACCCATAGGCACTGGGGCTGGACAGGGCTATGCAGGTAACACACCTGCTGGCCAGGCCCGGTCCTCTCCCAGCCCTGGACCTCAGCAAGGATGTTGGGGGCCAGTAGAACAGCACATCGTGAAAGTCACTCTTCGATCCTCTGATCCAGGGCTTCAGTATTTTAGAACATTTTGCCAAGAACAAGGATCAAGTGGCTCCTTGTGTGGCAGACATTGGCTTCCTTGGCTGTAGGCCTGGTGGAGAACTTGAGCCAGGAGCCATCGCTGTGCAATGAGCCTTCTCCGTCAAGCTCACCTCGGGATCTGGTGGCTTAGGGAAGCCGCTGTGTCACTCCAGGAGGCCCAGGGTCCCTTGCAAAGAAACCCCCACTGCCCTCTGTCTTCGTCACTTTCTCACTGCTGGAGCACAGCGCCCAACACCCACAACTTCAAGCAGAACAGGCTTGTATTGGCTCTTGTTGAAGTCCATGATCAATAGGTTGGGACAAGAAACAGTGATAGAGGGGCCTGGTGGAGGCGAGCTGCTCCTGTCAGGCAGCCAGGAACAGACGGAGAAGAAAAGAACAGATGCAGATACACCCTCCTGCGCCAGGCCTGTGACCCACCTCCTCCCACTCCCTGAGCTATAAACTCACACTGGACCAATCCACTGATGAGGCTAGCACCCCTGTGATTCTATGAGGCTCTGGGGGACATCTCGATATAAACCATATTGCTGGGGGTGGGGGCAGGGAGGTGGCTCAGTGGAATAAGTGCTTCCCTGGCAAGCGCAAGGGCCTGAGTTCAATCCCCGGTTCCGCAAAAAAAATTTTTTTTAAAAACCCCACCATATTGCCCTCAACTTCAACTTACAAAACACATCTCCAACTCAATCACACTTGTGCTTATAACTCATTGGGAAGAAGTTAGTCACATGGCCCCATGTAGCTAAAAACAGGTTTGGCAAACATAGTTTTTATTTGCAATGGCTATGCAGCCAGTTAAAAATCAGAAGTTCTAGATGGAGGCGAGGTAGACCCCGGGGGGAGGGGCAGCTTGCAACTTTGCCACGCCAATCTTCTGTCAATGGACATTTGAGTTGTTTCCATGTTTTTGTGGTTATAAGTGCCGGCCATGGTGGCGTAGGGTTGTAATCTCAGGACTAGGAAGCTGAGGCAAGTTCAAGCCCAGCCTGGACAATTTAGAAAAGTTTTTTGTATTTGTCTTCTATTTGATAAAGAACAATAATTTTTTATCCACTATTCATCTCACATAATATTGTCCTTGTAGTTCCTTGTTTCATTCACAATTTCTTTCAATGAACAGAAGATCTTAGTTTTTTCCTTTTTTTTTAAACAGGGTCTTGCTGTGGAGGTCAGGCTAGCCTTGCATTCACTGTCTAGCCTCGGCTAGCCTCAAACTCACGGTGATCCTCTTGCCTCAGCCTCCAAAGTGCTTGGATTACAATCCCTTAGTTTTATTTATTTATTTACTTATTTCCCCTTAGTTTTAGTTTAGTTGAATTATCATTTTCTTTTTCATTCATGCTTTGTCATTTTGAGTTATGTTTTAAAAACTTGGCTAATCATGAATTTATCGTAATATTCTCTTATATTTTTTTCTAATATTTTTGTTTTCTACATTTAAATTTTTTTGGAATAATTTAAGTAGCTAATTTTTACCCATGTGGGAAATTGATTGTCCTCTATAGTTTACAACTGATTGAATTTTTAATTTTTCTCTCATGGAATTTGCAGCAAGTGTTAGGAATTCTCTTAGAGTTCACTGGGCACTTCTGGCTTTTGCTGTCTGACGCCTGGGTAATGTTTTCTCTGCATCTAACTAGAGTTAACACGCCAGGCTCAGCCTGACATATTGGACTGTCTGATTGTCTGGCACTAACCTGCCCTCCAGCTCTGTCATAAATCTAGCTTCGGGGATGATCCTATCTGTTTCTGTGGTGTTAACACGATAGCTTCACATATGTTTTCCTGTCTGTTCGGGCAGTGTCCGCTGCCCCACGTATTTGCTACTTCTGGAGTTCTGCTTTTCGATACAGGCAATTAAATCAGCTCGACAGATTCCATAGAGGAGATCTCTGTCGGCTCAACTTATTTCAAGTATTTATGATTATTCTTGCTCTTTTAATGTTTACAAACTGGTTGGTGGAGATCTTTGTCATTCTGTGCCCATAACATGTATTGCAGAGCATCTTGCTGGGCACCAGGCACACTTGTAAGCCCAGTTGCTCAGGAGGCTGAGGCAGGAGCACTACAAACTCAAGCCTTGGCCGTGCACTAGTGACTTAGTGAGATCCTGTTTCAAAATAAAAAGGAGTCCAAGATGGTGACCACCATGAAGATGGCAGCTGCAGAAGACTCACTGTTTTCTTTCTTTCTTTTTTTTTTTTTTCGGTAGCGGGGATTGAACTCAGGACCCTGCGCTTGCCAAGCAAGTGCTTATTCTGCTGAGCTATCTCCCCGGCACTCTTTTTATCTTTTTGAGGTAAGGTCTCAGTATGCGGCTCAGGTTGGCCTCGAGCTCACTCTGTAGCCCAGGCTGGTCTCAAACTTGCAGCAATCCTCCTGCCTCAGCCTCTCAAGAACTAGGATTACAGATGCCTTGCAGAAGATGTCAAGATCATTTTTGAAGACCAACAAAAGATAAACAAATGCGTGTAGAATATGAGTGGAATCACAGAATTAAAGGAAGAAATAGAAGTAAAACCAAAACAACCTCAGTATTTGGAAGATGCTTGTGATGGCATTGTGCTCTGAGGGGGTGACTGCTTAATGCTACCTTACCAAATCGGTGACGTTTTCATTAGCCACTCCCAAGAAGAAACACAAGAAGTGTGAGAAGAAGCAAAGAAAAATTTTCAAGAGGAAATTGATGCCTTACAATCTAGAGTAGAATCAATTCAGCGGTTGTTAGCAGATTTGAAAGTTTGCAAAATTCGGCAGCAACATAAACCTTGAAGCTAATGAAAATTATTCCATGTAAATTCTTCTTTTGGTGGAACTGGGGATTGAACTCAGGTCCTTCCACTTGACAGGGAAGCACTTATTCCACTGAGCCATCTCCCGGCCCCGTGAAGCTGATAAAAATTAAACATAACTCCTTTTTAAATGTGTTTAATAAACTTGAATATTGTTTAAAATGACAATTTCCCTTCTTCAAATGACATGGAGGGAAAAGTTTCTTTTTTAGAAATTTTCATTTATTTGATGGAAACTTGCCTATTTTTGTGTCTTTGATTATTTCATATTTTATTTTTATTTATTATTATAATTTTTATATAACAACAACAATAATAACAATATGTAGGACAGGGTGTACAGGGTCTCACTGCGTAGATCCCACGTGCTGGGATTACAGGCCTGCGCCACCACACCCAGTTTCAATCCGCCTTCTCAGCGAGCCCCGTGGGCAGGGCCAGCCCTGCCAGCCAGGGGATTGCACTTGGCCCCGTGTCTGCCTAAGCAGGCGCTTTAATCCTCTGAGCTATTTGGACGGCCCTTCATTTTATATTTTTAAAAGAAAGCTGTATTCATCGATGTATTTTGTACAATGGTTATGTCAAGTCCAGGGGCTTTATTTCGTATTATTAAAATCAAGTAAACAATGCTCTATGCTTTTATATTCTTTAGAATAGTTGTAATTTTCATTCGTAGAAATTTACAGTTGTGTCCTATTATTTGTATGCCTGGTTCTGGTTGCTGTCTGAGGATGGTAAACACCTTACAAAAATGTACACTCCTAAAAAAAATGTACACTCCTATAACTGTATACTGTATGTATTTCACAGCTAAAATGTTGTCATTTACTGAAAAAATAGGAAAAAAAAAAAGGAAAGAAAAAGGAGCTGGGTTCACTCTTTAGCACCATAAAAG